ACACACACACACACACACACACACACACACACACACACTGGCCCTCCGGGTCGCTTTCGTCAGGGCTTTCTGGGGGTATCTCTGCCCTGCGCTATTCAGGTCCCTCCCACGCGGTCCCCGCTGCCGTGGCGCAGGCGGCAAAGGGGGAGCTGGAGACCCGCCTCCCTCCCCAAGTTGGCCCCGCGCGCATCCGCGGAGAGTCAGGGCGGGGAGCGCTCCAGTGGCTCCCTCCGTCCCCGGACCACGCTACTGGGGGCGAGCTCTGACAAAGAGAGGCGACTCTAGTGTCCGCTCTACGTCTGAAGTCCGGGAAGGCCGGGCACGTGGGGGGCCTTCCAGCTCAGCCCTGCGGGTCCACGCGTGGAAACCTGAGCTCCAGAGCTGGGCTCAGGTTCCTGTTCGTGGCCGAGGGCCTCCGCGTCCCCGCCGGGCTGGGACAAAGCAACCCGCCTGTCCCGGGCCGCGAGGGGCCATGCGGGGCCAGGCTCGGCTACAGCCCGCGGCGGCGCGCCCTGCGCGGTGTCCCCGCGGTGGTCTCCCGCCACACGCGCGCGCGCACACACACACACACACACACACACTCTCTCCCTGCAGTCGCTCGCGGTCCCATCTCCCTTTTCCTCTTTGTTCACATTGTCCTAGAAATGGCCCGACTCGGGTCAGGACGGTGAAAGTTGGCCAGACTTGCTCGCAGTCCCAGACTGCGGAACGCGGGATTAGAAGCGAAGTCCGAGCCGAGACTGGACCCCTGCGGCGGGAAAGGGAATCGGAGCCTTTTTAGGGGAGAAGTCGAATCAGCCTTAGCAGGCAGCCTCGGGCTGGCGGGGAAGAGCCGGGCTGCCCCACTCCGGGCAGAAGGTTGGGAAGATGAAAGGGAGCGATGAATTTGCAGATTGCTGGGGCGACCTGGGGAGACCTCACCCTGCCTCCGCGTGGACAGCGTGCTCGGACCCGGCGAGATGGAAAGACAGGGACGAGGTGACCCCCCTTTCTTCCCATTCCCACACCCATTTGCCACAAGCCCGGGTTCTTGGGTGTCCAGCGCTGACTCCGTGCGTCTTGCTCACGTGTTTATGAAGCACCAGCGCCCTGCCCCATTGTATTTCCAGCAGTCACATCCACAGTGGGCTTGAACATTAACTGCTAGGTAGCAGGTACAAGAAGCTGGGAAGGAAGTGTCACTTCTCATAAACCACTCTAGTAGCTCGTATTCATCTGGGGGCAGCCAGCAGCGCTGGGTTAAGCAGGGGCTGTTCCTGGACCACTTAGGTAAAGTGTGCGGGGTGGGTTACTTTTTTATAAAACCTGATGAGGAGAGAGAGAGAGAAATGGAGAGGGGGAGACGAGCAGCACTTGGACATTTCCACTGAAGACAGGACTGGGACAGTTTCCACCAGCTGTCTCCCACCACATTCTTTCGGTATGAATTTAGACTGTCAGCCAATGAGCAAAGACCATTTCCACTTCTGAATCCAGAAGCCTCGTGACTGTCACTTTAAAAAGCAATGCAGCAGTGGGAGCAAGGACTAAGTAGCTGATGGAGCATTTTCCTGCTTAGAAGCAGCCTCTTCTGGGCATCTCTTTCCCACTGCTGTTGGCTTGGTCCACCTTTGTCCGCATCCCTGGCTCAGATGCAGGAAGACTTCACTGCTTCCTGGCCCCTTTAAGATGCCCATCAGGTTTCTCTCCTTGCTTGTTTGGTCGAGTTTCCTCTTACAGTCATAGAAACAGGGTCTTCCTTTCACTGATCACATCCCATTTCTTCAGAACTCGCCCACTGGCTGTGGCTGATTCTTCAAGATTTCCGCCCACTTCTGCAGAGAAAAGCAGCTCCTGTATCCGGGCCTGTATGTGTGTTTTACAATATTCTTCAATTAGTATATAGATGTTAAGTGCCAAGGAGACAAGTCTGGCTTTCTGGAGACATGTGATATAATTGGCATAATAATGCCTGCCTTGGAAGACTGTTGTTAGGAATAAAAGAAAAAATGCACATAAAACAGGCAGCACATGATAGACACTTAAAACATGATAGCTATTGTTATTCTATTCCTAATATAGTCCCCCAGGGACTTCTGCTCATGGGGTCTTGGGCAAATACTATTCTTGATTTTAAACCCAAAGCTTTCTTGGGCTATCTCTTCTCAAAATATTTTAATCCTTCTTGTTTTCCCTTCTTCCAGTTTGTCATCTGTCTTTTCTGCTGACAGTTTAGTAGTTAGTCCCAGATGGGAAAAAATGACAAGGCAAGTGAAGAGAGACATGAAGCAATGGGCACCAGCATTGGGTAGCGGGCAGCAGATCTGGGCCTGGCTCCCCCACCCCCACCCACTCACTGTGATTTCAGGTCCCTCCCTCACCAACCCAGTGAACTGCTGCCAAGATGAGTTTATGATACATGTATTTAAAAATAGCTGGTAAGCTATCAAGTCCCTATGAACTTAAGGAGACTGCTTGAACAAAGTGTTCTGTTCATCTCCACCCCTTTGTTCATTGACATGGGTCTCCTCCTGGTCTCCTCCTCCGAACCCCAAATGCAAATCATCACCGAATCCTTTCATTCCTTTCCTACAACAACAAGATGTAACTGGGCCTCTCGCCACTCATCTCCATTTCCCCATCTCCCCACCCCATTCTACAACCCCCAGTCCCCGCTGTTGTTTGGGAACTGTGAAGAGTGTGGGGTGCAGGGGAGAGGTCTGACCCCAGCCAGTGCACTAGATTTAAGCTTCAGTTGGAAGAGCACAGAACTGTTGTAGCCAGCAGTTATTCACCTCTTGCTGTGTTCCAGAAACTCTACTAAGTGCCTTTGTGCTTTATCATTTTAATCCTGAAAACCACCTTATAAGGTAGGTACTATTATTATCTCCTTTGTCATATGAGGAAACTGGCTTATAAAAATTAACATGCCTATTGCCACAGTGCTATCAATGGTGGAGCCAAGTTCATAGACTTCAGACACCCATTGTGTAGCACTGCCCTGTTATAACAGGCATGTATTTTTATAAAGAGCATGTTTCCACAAAATAAATACATAGACATAAATAGCTTATATACCCGGATAAACAACCAGGAGACATAGTGAAGAAATAAAGATCCCAATTACAATAGCAGAAAAAAGAAAAGAAAGATAAGATTCTTAGTAATAAAATTAACAAAAAATGTGCAAGATCTATATGGAAAAAATATATTTAAAGCTCTCTAGGGACACAAAAGAAAACTTGAACAAACAGAAAGACATACAATGTTCTTAGATTTTAAAGAACCCAATTTCATAAATATGCAATCATTCCTAAGTTAATTTAAAAACTTAACATGATCACAATAAAAATACCAACAAGTTTTTTTATTAGAAAAACACTAATGCTAAAGTTAATATACAAAATTCAATTTAAATTGACCAAAAAATGTTTGAAATTCACAAGAAAAATAAAAGGGTAACTAGCCATACTTTTAAATATTTTAAAGCTACACTAATTAAAACTGAGGCCGCTGAGTGGCCAGTTGGTTAAAAGCGTGAGCTCTGAGCAACAGGGTCGCCAGTTCAATTCCCACATGGGCCAGTGAGCTGCCCCCAAGCTGAGCTGCCAACAGGTGGCAGGGTGGCTCAGCTGGAGAGAGCATGTGCTCCTAACAACAAGGTTGCCAGTTGGACTCCCGCATGAGATGGTGGGCTATGCCCACCAGTAACTAAGATTGAACACAGCACCTTGAGCTGAGCGGCCAGGAGCTGCCGGGCAGTCGGATGGTGACTAGACCTAGAGCTGAGCTAGCTGCGCCCTCCACAACTAAGATTGAAGGACAACAATGTGGCTGTCCCCCTTCCCCAATTCCCCAATAAAATCTTAAAAAAAAACCTGAGTACTATTAGAATATGAATTATTCATATTAGCATACGAATAAAGAGATAAAGCAATGACAGCATAAAAATTATAGAAATAAGCACAAATACATATTGGAATGTAATACATGATAAAATCAATGGGGAAAAATGAACTATTGAGTAAATGGTTTTGAAACAACTGAATAGGCAACTAGGGGAAAAAAAAGTAGTATCTATTCTTCACATTTGGCACGAGGATAAAACCTAAATGGAGCAAATATTTATAAAAAATAAACCATAACAAGTACCAAAAGAAACAATGGAAGAATTCCTTTATAATCTGAGGTGTAAAGGCCTAACTACAGGCAGACCTCGGAGATACTGCAGGTTAAATTCCAGACCACAGCAACAATGCAAATATCGCAATAAAGTGAGTCACATGAACTTTTTGGTTTCCAGGTGCATATAAAAGTTGTATTTATACCACATTGTAGTCCATTAAGTGTGCAATAGCATAATGTCTAACAAAACCCA